ATCTATATTATGAAAATGTTTCACCTACAAAGCAGGCTTCAGTGTAATGCAGGCAAATATAAAACCAGAGACAGTAGAAGTAATCTTGAGGTTTACGGTCTGTCAGCCTTAATAGGAGGAGGAGGAGGAGGAGGAGGAGGAGGAGGAGGTGGTCAGTCCTTCAAGTCTAAAGGAGAGGCAAGCAGGCAGACCTTATACTATACAAGTAGAAATGAAGTGTAGCATCTGGTGTAGCATCAGGTGAGCATAGCACACTAGTAGAAGTAGGTCATATGTTAAACAGTTTAGCAAAGGAATTGTAAAAGACTTCCCCTGTACCATGATACCATGGTATTGCTGTGTCAGACAAGTATCAGAAATACAATAAGAGTACGATACTTGTCTGACATAGCAACACCGTGATATCTTTGTACATGGGAAGTCTTCTACAACTCCTTTATTAAATGACTGTTTAGCTTGACCGAGTTTGACTAATGGGTTGTGCTCACCTTGGACATCACCTCCAGCTGCTACACCTACTTCTGCTTCTATATAAGGTCTGGCTGTATGCTTCTGCTTTAGGCTTCAGGAATTGACCACCTACCAAGGATGAAGGACTGATAAACTCAATAACTTCTAATGTCTCCAGTTTCATATTTGCCTGTATTTAAATGAAGAGGTCTGCTGTGTAGGGGAAGTCTTTTGGCAATATAGATACTCAAGTGATGTGCATGTCTCATTCATCAATCTATTGGTATTATATACCATCAGTAATATGATAGTACAGTAGAATAGATTGTTGATGACAAGGAAGTTAACAGCAAAATAACTTAAACAAAAGTGATTGTGAGGAATGTGAAAATTGTAGAAAATCAAGGATAAATGTAGTGTGGAAATGCACAAGCAAGTATTTCTAAACCCATATTAAATACCAAACACGAATTGGCTACGATTCTTAATTAGGTATCACTTGTAACTGATACCTGTATGACCCTTGTGGGTTTAGTGCTTAGTTTTGATTGTAATAATACTAGAAGTTGATACACCCCTTAAATACTAGTGGTTATGGTCCCTCTTACCCTGCAGAATTCAGTGTCAGTGTTTGTAAGTACAAAAATTTTCAGCATGTTTTTCCAGTTTGCAAGCATGAAAAAACTGAAGCATTTAATTATACGTACTGTGTTTTGCATTTAGAATTTATAAATTTTATATTATTTTAGAATCAGTGATTGAAAATCCTTATTCACATCTGCACATTATTTTTTTAAACCTTTCTTTAAAATTATAATTTTTCCTACTACCATATAATTGTGCTTTCATCTATAAATTCTTATCTCCATCAAGAGTTTCAGTAAAGGATTTTTTTGCAAAAACAGTGTACCTTCAGATATTAAAGGGAAGACATGAATACCAGTTAGGTCAGTTTTGATGCCTTTCTAAATTCATTGTTAGGTGAAAAGATGGTTGCTTTCCTCACTGAACTGTTAATAAAGTTTTATATACATGTATGAGGTTTTAATGAAAGTTATATAGTTTCTGAGGAGAAAGTGAGACTATGGTTAAGGTACTTAGGAAAGAAGTGAGAACATGTATTATACAGTAAACAGGGATGTGTGTTATCACTGTTGTTATACCCCACGGCCTGGTCTGTGACTGGTTCTTGCGGTGAATCAGGGCCTGATCAACCAGGCTGTTACTGCTGGCCACACACAAACCGACGTATATTTGTAGATAAGGTAAAGTGAATGCGAATGTTGGCAAGTTGCGACATTGCTCGTCACAATTGACATACTGCTTCTGAGAGATTTAGAAAAGTAGCTGGAAAGTTGGTGGAAAAGTATAAGGGAATGTGTAAAAAAAAGGAAATTAAAAATGATCACAAAAAAATTATGAGAGTAAGAAAGAGTCTAGGCAGTAATAAAAAAAAAACGGATATATTTGAGTGACTTTGTTGAAACGATGGATCTATGAGAGCCTAGATGGCAGGATGAAGGTAGGAATCGACTACATTTAGGTCTTTGAGAGTAATGTGTGTATGACAGATAAAATGAATAATAGAATAGAGAGGGAGAAGGGTAAGTGGAATGTTAAGGCATCTGTGGAAATAAATTTATTAATGAATGCTTAAAGGGGACTACCATAGTTTAGTAGTGTCGACACTTTTCTCTTGGTATGAAGCTTAGTCTTTGAGCATTGTAACAAGTAGGAGGCAGGAAGCAGTGGAAATGTTGTGTTTGATATCAGTGTGTGGTGTGAATATTAGGGTGAAGATAAGGATTGAAGAAATTACAAAATGGTGTGGTAGCATGAAGGGCTTATTTCAAACAGCAGAGATGTTATTAAGATTTGGTCATATAAAATGGATGGTGCAGTGTAGAGTGAATGGAGAGAGGTGTAGGGGACATCTAAAATTGTAAGGAGAGTGTTTCATCAGACATGTGTGAGTGTGTTACATCAGAATTAATGGAGACAACTGGCTTGGGATTTTGTTTGCTGTTGGAATATGAGTTCTAGAGGTAGAAAATACAGTGCCTGCACACTGAAGGATGGGTAGGGATCTTGTAGTTTGGATGCCATTTTAATTGGAATGTCTGTTTATTTCTGGGAAGACATCTCTTGAAAGATTGATGGTGCATGTGTTTCCTTCTTTGGGTCATGTTACTTTGGCGGGAAATGGCTGATGTGAAGGAAAAAATAAAGTTTACAAGCTTAACAAGACTAACAGAATCTAATCATGTTTTTTCTTCTGTGAATTCCTAAGTTTGAGGTTATTTGCATGAACATATTGCATTGAAAAGGTAGTGGTTAGTTAATGTTGAAGGACTTAAAAGGTCTTGTTAACTATTGTATGACCGAAATAGCTAAGGCTTTCCTTACTAGACGAGTATAGTGGAACCTAGATTTATGAGTGCCCCAACATACAAGTTTTTCAAGTTATGAGCCATCGCTAGGTTGATTTTTTGCTCTGAGTTATGAACCAAAATCTGAGTTACGAACGAGATTCAGAACGCTGCCACTAGTTAGCACAGCGAACGCCGCAACATTCACTCAGCAGTGCATGTGTTTACCTCGCCGTGGAAGTATTTCTCTTGTATTGTGCTTGCGTTTTGTGCAGTTATTTTGCCAAATTTATTTTTTCTAACCATGGGTCCTAAGACAGTAAGTGCAAAGGACAGTGCTGAGAAGAAAAAGAGGCTGATGTCCATTGAATTAAAGAATGAAATCATAGATAAACACGAGTGAGGTGTGCGGGTTGTGGACTTGGCCAGGCAGTACCAGTGTAGTACTTCTATGGTATATACGATACTAAAGCAGAAGGGGTCAATAAAGGCTATAGCGCCAGCCAAGGGCGTTGCAATAATTTAAATTCAGCAATAAAGTGTAGCATTAAGAGCGTAGCAATTAAGTTCAGCAACAAAGTGTAGCATTAAAAGTCTAGCAAGTAGCCTATCTTTTCCACCCTTCACCTCTGCCAGCATCTTTGGAGAAACTGGCTGTTCTCTTTCTGACAGACTCAGAGAGCACAAAAATAGTGTTAGGCTTGCCAACACCAACAATGCTCTTTTCTGTCATGTCAGAGATCACAGTCATCCTGTTGACTGGTCTTCTGCTAAAACTGTCTTCCCTATGTCTAACTTTCACAGTCGCCATTTGGTTGAATCCTCCCTTATACACAACTTTCCTTGTATGAATCTTAGCCCTGGCTTTGTCTCTGTAGATGCCTTCCTCTCCCATTACATTGTAAAATGCTCCAAACTTCAGAGCACCTGTGACTTAACCTGATTTTTATTTTTCCCCCTTCTCCCTCTTCCCCTGTCCTCTTTCCTCTTTCTCCTTTGGGTTTTCTTTCTTCTGCCTTGGGTATTTGGTCCATTATTATTATTTTTTCCTCCTCTGTGTTCTTGTTTTTACCCTTTGTGGGTCCCTAGCTCCCTTACAGTGCTCCTCATTCTTAATCTTTGACTGACTCCTCTACTACTACCTCTACCACTACAACTCATCTTCCTCCACCACCTCTCTTGTCCCATTCCTGTCTGCTGGCCTGTATATACTCCCTCTCTCCTTTCTGTTAGTGTGACTTTGTAAATGGTCCAAGTCGGACTGAAACATTGTCGTAAGCTCTTCTCTCCTATGTGTTCTCCAAGGTAAATACGTACACTTTATAAAACCAGTTTATTTCTTTACATTCTCTATTATGTTTTATTATGTTTTTATACAATATTTCTTATTTATAAATACATTATTTCAGTGTTTTCCTTATGAAACTAGTGATCTAGTGAAGTCAGCCTCACAAATACTCCATTTTCAGAAGGGGAAGATATGGTCAGAGTGAGAGCAGGAATGGCCCCCACTACTTGTCACAAAATGACATTTTATTCATTCTAGAGTATATATCATGTTTCTATGTTATTTATATTGTTTATTATGCCACATTAGATCAATTGTGATAGATGAATAAGCCGTAGAGTTGATATTAACATTATATTGAAGTATTTTCTCCTGCTTCCGAAGAGCAGGAATTCCGCTGGAATGGATTGATGGCATTTCAATGAAGAAAATTTATTTGATATACGAGCAAATTGAGTTACGAGCTAGGTCACGGAATGGATTAAACTTGTAAGTCAAGGTACCACTGTACATGTGTTGGTGACGAGATTTCTTAGTTTAAGAGTAAACATATTTCAAAGAAATATTTAATTGTTGAATTTCTGTTAATCATTGTAACTTTTGATGGAGCTACTAGTTTAGTTGCTAGTGCAGAAAGTAATATTTGCTCCATTGTCATACTTTGTAGCACATTACAGATGTCAGTGTTAATTTGGCATATATCAAGCTAATCAGTTAATGAGTTGGCTTTGAATAATTTCCAGTTCATTTATTTCAGTTTTAACTATAAAAATCATTATGATTATTTAAAAAATTTTGTTGCTTTAGTAATTTTTTGTGTACTACTTTGTTCCAGTGATCGTATTGTGTTAATGGAATTGAATTATTAACATTTTTTACATTCTTTATTCTAGTGACACCACTCTGCTCTTGGACGATGTGTCATAAGCTTCCACAAGAATCCTCAAAATATATCATCTTTTGGGTAATGTTTTTTCAGTTCAGTAATGTGTTTCACTGACTAGAAGTATCTATTGAAATACAAATGATTTTAGTTTGTGGACTGAGACAGCCATTGCTTAATTCCTGCTGTAATCTATCAATGCTTTTGAGCCAGTTTTTAAATGGTAAATTCAGTATAAATGTAATTAACCTCTTATATATTTATATAAATTATTTTTTTACTGAAGATCTAATTTATAAAAGGGGTAAATGTAATGAATTAATGTCATAATGGGGCAGATATAGACTACACTGAAGACCCACAGAACCCTAGTTTGATTTAGTGGCTGAGTATGTCTCACTCTGTTGTGTTTGAATAGACCATGGCCCTCCTGAGGCTGTGGACTTAGTAAATGCACCTCACCTTGATAAAAGTCCCTCTATGACATTTGAATGCTATGTAAGCAAATTTTAGTCAAAATATTGTGATGTACCTTATTAACTCTTCATGTTCTTGCATATGACAACTTCAGTAATATCCAGGGAGGCATCGTAATGAGGTTACCTTCAACATTTTGCAATAAGGAAATATGAAAGGGCTTTTTTATACCTGGTAGAAATTTGAGAAATTCATGAAATAATGAATGATTAGATAATTGTACTTCAGTCAGAGCTCTTGCTGGAATGTGTTGATAAGGTAATCTATTTAAAAAAAAAAAAACTGTAGTCTAGTGGTGTATATATTATTAAGGATTTATGGAACCAAAGATTTTTTTACAAAAGACTAGAGGATAATGCATCCAAGTCAGAAAAAACATAGTCATCTTGTATAACTCTTTATGACTGAAGAATTGTGCATTTTATGCATAGAGTATTTATTTGTATTTCCAAAGATCGATCATATTTTGAAGGTGCAACAAGTACACACAAACCTCGTAGAGTTGAATATTGTTTTTCATTCTTTAGTATTGCAGTTTTATCTTGCTTAGCAAAAAAAAAGTACATTGCTACTTACTTCCTTATTCTGTAAAAATTCTAATAAGCATACATAAATTTTTCCCATGCACTCTTAGAGCTATTGTTTCCCAAAGTTGATTTATCCCCACTGAACCTCTCACTTACTCTAATCCATGTGTGGCATATACTTGTATTTGTGCAAAAATGTCCCATCTCACAACTGTGATACCAGTTTATCTTGTTTAGCTTTTGTTCTCTACTTTACATACAACCATGTATGTCAATGTAATATATATTCACTTTATAAGTTCTTTCTCCATTATAGTCATATTTCCATCTACAAATAACATTTGTAATTAAGTTTGCAATTTATTACACATTACTCCATCTTATCAACTGGCTATTAACTCCATATTAATCTATTCCCCCATTGTAAATTCAAGTATGGATTCTATTTCATCTCTTGTAATGATTCTTGCCAAATTGTCTTTTATTTATTTACTGTTAGCATAGTCTGTGATGCTCTTGATTTTATCTAGCCATAGAAATACATATTGGTATTCATGCAATCACAAGAACAAGTGACTACCAAGCATGCAGGGCTTGCCACAGTGATTGGTAAAGTGAATGCTTTGGTGAATTTGTGATCAAACACCTGTCTTCAGAAGCAAATGACATAGAGAAAATCAAAGAGCACTTGTATAGAGGCCAAAGTCAGGGTGAGGTGTTTACACCTGATTTGCTGAATGAGATGATATATGATAGGGGTCAAAAAATTCCAGTCTGAAAATATAAAAGCCTTTAAGGAGTATAGTTAAAAATGCACTTTGTTTCACTTTTGTGATTGAGGAGTAGAACCAAGTACATATGAACGAATGACATTTGCTGGCTTCTTATATATTGGATATGGAGGACAAACCTTGAAAATTAGACACATGTGCAACATCTGGGTATCTTTATTGTAGATGTTTCGCCATCCAGTGGCTTTATCAATACAGATTCTAGGACATAACTTGAAGACAGTAGAACTATATACAAAAGATGAGGTAACCAGTCCCTCACCAACTCCAAGGCTGAGGGACTGAGTACCTCATCTTTTGTATATAGTTCTACAGTCTTTAAGTTATGACCTAGAATCTGTATTGACAAAGCCACTGGATGGCAAAACATCTACAATAAAGATGCCCAGATGTTGCACCTGGAGTTTACCTGGAGAGAGTTTCGGGGGTCAACGCCCCCGTGGCCTGGTCTGTGACCAGGCCTCCTGGTGGATCAGCGCCTGATCAACCAGGCTGTTGCTGCTGGCTGCACGCAAACCAATGTACGAGCCACAGCCCGGCTGATCAGGAACTGACTTTAGGTGCTTGTCCAGTGCCAGCTTGAAGACTGCCAGGGGTCTGTTGGTAACCCCCCTTATGTGTGCTGGGAGGCAGTTGAACAGTCTCGGGCCCCTGACACTTATTGTATGGTCTCTTAACGTGCTAGTGACACCCCTGCTTTTCATTGGGGGGGGGGGGTATTGTATACCATTCAAGTACAAGACAAACCTTTTATATGAATGTATGCATCTGAAAAGGAAGGATATCATTTTTGTTTTCAAAATTGGAAGGAAATCTCTGGAATTTTCATAACACTGCCACAAGCATAAAACATCTACAAATCACATTCATTTGGCATTGGAATGACTTATATCTTTTATAATCCTGGTTTCAAAAATATTCCAATTATGATGGAGGTAATGGTGGGGAGAGGAGGGTGTGTGTATACTTGGCTAGGGCCAAACGAGCATCTGAGGGCAAGTACCCTTTTTATCTTACTGCTTCTGCTTGGTACTCTGCTCATTAGGTGCATCTGCTTCTCTGTTTGCTTTGGGGTTGTTTGTTTTAGTGTGTTACCTCCCCATGGTGGGTGGGAGAATGAGCTGAAGTTCAGTTATTATTGCTTTATGACCCCTCAAGGCCTTGACACTGGTGAAGGGCTCTTGATCCAAGAAATTGAACCTATTCAACCGTTGAATCAAACCTGATTACCTTCTATTTTTCCAATGTTGAATGACCCCTATGGGTTTAGTGCTTCCCCATAAATATAATATTTTCATGTGAGTAATATATCGCTAATGATTCTTCTGCATTGTCTCTTGACTACAGTTCTGGCTGCTCCGAACTTGCAAAGGTGATTGGCAAGTTGTCCTTGCATTACCCAATACCATTTTTCTCACTCTACATTCAAGACAATTGCTGCTATTTCAAACCCCCATATCTGGTACCTCTTGACCTCATTCTTATTATAATCATGTCTCCATGTAGGGGTGCCATAGGTAAAATATGAGAACATTGTATCAATATCCATGGACCCAGACTGTTAGCACCCCACCAGAATTATCAGAAACACTGCTGGAACAAGTGTAGAAGTTTTGAAGAGGAAATTGAGCAAGTACCTCCACTAATTGCTGGATCAACCAGGCTGTGATGGATATGTAGGCTGTTGGCAGCAATAACCTGGTTGATCAGGCAATTACCAGACAAGTCTTGCCCAAGTCTAGACTGTGGGAATAGGAAAACTCTTGTGACCCATCAAAGGTATATCAAAAGTAAAGATAAAGGTATGGGTTCCATTACCTCTACATGAGGTCTATATTTTTTTTTTTTTTCAAGGGGGAAGCGCTAAACCCGGAGGATTATACAGCGCCTGGGGGGGGGGGGGATGTGGAAGGCATTCAGGCTTAATTCGGGGAACTGGAGCACAGATCCAATTCCCTAAATCAAGAGCCCCTCACCAACATCAAGGAACCTTCCTTGAGGGGTTGAGGTCTATAGCTCACAGATTTGACAAAACTTTTTACTTTTCAGCCTAGTGATTATAAAGTCTGTTAACTGATCTAGACAGCATCTGGCTCGAAGGTCACATTCTATACCTAGAATGATGTGGTACATGTAGTGTGGGTTACTGATGCTACTGGGGCAGATAACTTAGCAAAATTGCAAACTAGAAGACAAATCTATTATGGTTATCAGACTTATTTGCCTTAATATATATACAATGAAATGGTAGTCCTTCCTCTTCAGTTGTCCATCAGCTAGCATTTACTTAGTGTACAAACAGTATTGTCCTGGATTAATGACTGCAACAGCTATCCATCTTCAAAGTACATAGACACTTTTGTCCGTCTTGCATGAGGACAATGTAAATACGGCACTCAAACAATTTTGACAAGCTAACCTCTGATGGTCATTTATTTAGCAGGTAACTGGTTAACCTGCTGGCATTTCAGACATTTTGCTAAACATTGTCAGTTGTGAGAGATTGCCTTGCCTGTGCTCCCCTACTCATGATGGTGAACCGTAACAACTGCCTACCTCACGTCTGAAGTGTGCTGTTGCTCATTCTGCCTGTTTCCAGTCTTGACCTGTATTCTTCTAAATGGGAGGATACAGTCCTCATAACTGATGTCAAAAGTTTAGCCAACATTTGTAATAGCTTATAGGCTGGTGAAACTACAGAATTCATGAGAGGTTTAGCAGGACTTGTGGACTTATGTACTCAGGTCCCATCATTATGCAGTCATTTGCAAGCAGCACATCCTCACTTTTGCCAATATATATACCTTAGCATTATTGTGAAATTATCTATATTTATACCATATATATAATATAATAATAATAATCATGAGTATGCATATATACTAGACTGTATATATAAACTATTACAGTATTATTATTTTTTACCATGTATTAAGTCATATAATAGTTGTGATATATCTTCTGTGAGTTTGCTTGTTTTAACATTGGGATTTGTATTTTATTCACATGTAGGCACTAACCCATCAGGGTCATTCAGCTTTCATCTCCCATTAGGAACTGTTTGTATCTCAAAGGTATATATTACTGTTTCATTAACTTTTCAACTTCACTGCAGCATTTGTTGTATTGTGACTTGTCATTTCTTAATTTTTCTCTAAATTGTTCTTAGATCCTCCAATTTTTATGTTACTATTTTTTGTTATATATAATTGTGGTTGACATATTTAATAATCAAAACTGAATTTGTACGGTATTAATCAGAAATGATTCAAGCATTGTTTTGGGGCCTTGAACAAATGCATATATACGTACATACCTATATACATACACATTTTTTGTTCATATATGGTATTTTTTACAATACAATTCATTTACATTTTCTATTTATAATACTGGAATTCAGTTTTTGTTTATAAATCTGAAAGCCCTGGACCTATTGCTGATGCTTGGAACAAGTGAAGAACTATGATGGGCTGTTTTTATTTTATTCTTATTTTCAGTGAGGCAATAACTAACTGCTAGCTCTGTGTTCTTTAATATTTAGTTGCTCATGATGATGGACTGCTAGTCATTCACTAAGATGATCTTAAAATGAGTATTGAAGGCACACTTTAGTCTAAAAAGACTTGCTAATACAGGGATGCACTAAGCCTGTTAGTGCAAATGTTCAGAGATGATTGATATCATTTACAGAATGTCCTAGGAATAAAATACCTGGTAATTTAGGAAGATAAGTATATGCCATTTAAAAATTATGCACTAATTGCTAATATGCATTAGAGAAATAAAAGTGCATCATTAATAAACTTGGGCATATAGAAAGTTTTAGTTTAGTGTTTGAAAGTGGAGAAAGTAGACCTCTCTGTACAGATGATACAGTGTCTGCTTATATAATTACCCACTTTGTTATAGCATTTAAATTACTGTAATGTCAAATATTTCATATCACAAGGTCTCTCTTTTTCCACAGGAATTAGCCATAAGTATTATATGTAAATATTTCTTATGTGAAACATACTTGTTTACCTAAAATTTGGTATTAATTAGCAGTGACTGAAGAGTCAAGATGCTTCATTTAATCATTTTGTTCTTGATCCAAGAGAATACCTCAACCTAGTAATTATTTTGGTATATCAAAGTTACTTATTCACTCCTTATTAAACATGCATTTTGATTTTTTTAGTATATAGTGTTAGCCGATTTATTGAGTGCTATTACACTCACAAAAAGCACTAAACCCATGTGGTTTATTTAGCAGTTTTTATTGAATTGTAGCTTCAGCAGCTCTTTTAATAGGCAGGTTTTACATTGGGTTTGAGTAATTAAATATATAATAGTATAATTTTGCCTTGCATTTCGGCTTGTATTTATTTGACTGTTTCGAAAATAAAAGAGGTAACTGTTTTTTAGAATGTTTGTTCATGCTAAAAAATTAAAATAGAGAATAAATAAAGGAAGTTTTCAAATATTGCTCACCAAGTATGTATATATTGGCGTTGATGCATTGTAAAAATGCCATACTACACAAATGAAGATAATCCATTGTTGGGTTTTGAACAAGTTATAAAAAACTATTTCTCCTAGTAGTTACCATTCATTTTAAACAATTTGTTTATGATAAGACTTCACCATAGTCAACTTTTGATGACATTTTAATATAAGCTTTATTCTTATCCATTATAGGGCTTGTTATTTTTAATTGGAAAAAAAAAAGTGTCATGTATAATGGGAAATTGTTTGGGTATTTTATGTTTTCTAGTTTGAACTTATACTCCAGTCATTTGTTGTGATTTATTGTGATGTATTTTAAAATTATATAGTTTTATATATGGGGCATTATACACCTTTTTTCCTAGTGTGATTTGTAATAATTATTCTATTATGAGTGTTGTGAAACTATATTATCAAGTGTGGAAACAGGGTGCCTTCTGTTTTATTTACCATGGAAATAAGCTAGTTAAAATTTCTATTAAAGTTAAGATTATTCAGGAAACAACCATTTATGTAGTATACATTTCCATACTTTTTTTAACTGGCCATCTTGCCCCAAGGTAGGGACACCCCCTCCCCCCCCCCAAAAAAAAAAGAAAAAAAAAAGAAACTTTTAGTATCACTCACTCCATCACTGTCTTGCCAGAGGAGCACTGCCATTACAACTCAGATGCCCTTCAATACATTATAGCTAATTAATAAAAGGAATTCTAAATGTCTACAATATTGCAGTTAGGAAATTCTAATGTCTACAATATTGGCAGTAAGGAAATTAATGTCTACAATATTGCCAGTGTACATACACTATCCAGTGTCTATCTTGAACTTATAAATTAGAATAAGTTATCAGAAGTAATTTTTTTTTTTCAATTATACATTAGTTTACAGAATTTTCATTTAAATTCATGCAACAGATGGGCAAAACACATAAAATTATTTAACCCCTTTGCTACATATTTGTGGTATCATCTACATACTGTATGCTTGTTTACCATAACAAACTCTGATAGTAACTAAATATTGTCTAATAAAGCTAATAGCTATACCCAAATGGGTCATACAGCACTGTAGTATCTACAGTACTTGTAGGCTGTACTCTCTGTTAGCTAAATATAATTTTTCTGAGTAAAAACCAGCACTTGAGGTCAAGACTATTCTTTTTTTTTTTTTAATCTGCCAGTAATGTTTGTTTCTCAAGTACTCCAATTTTGAATATGTGTATTGCAATGTATGTGTAGGATTCTCAGAAATTAATCTATATTGAATACTCTTTCATAGTGTCAGTTTATAAAAACAAATGTATGGTAATTGGTGCATCTCTCTTCATCTAAGTATTCCATTAGAGGCATCTTGAAAAATGATATACAGTATACTGTTTTATTAATTGTAATGGTCAGAATTCAGAATTTTTTGTAGGTTGATTCTTGCCCTCTTCACAGGGGCTTCCCTTGGCGTGGTGAAAGAGGCTTTGGTCTGAGGAATTAGCCCTGTCGGATCTTTTCCTCAGACCGAACCTAATTACCCCCACTTTCTCCCACTCCCACTCCATCTCTCCCCAATCCTCCCCTTTTTTCCCATTCCTCCTCCTCTCCTCATCACCCCTCCCTTTTGCCCTTCCTCTTTTTAGGCCTTTGTGATTTCTCCCACAGGCGCGCTAGTCCTAGGTATAGGGGATAAGGACACCGGGGCGAATCCCATTCGTTGAGGTTTCTTGGCCGGGGCTGTAGTTTGCCGTGGAATCTGGATTGCCTAGGGCTGTCCCGATTCCCCTCTCCGGTATCCCGGAGTAGCTTTGGGGTGTCTTTTGGGCGGACGGGTGTATCTCTGGAAGCCACCTTTTTCGATTCCGGGGGTGGTGTGAGGAGGTATGCTTTGTGGGCGGATATCCGGCGCCCTTCTTTTGTCCACCGAGGTAGCTCGGCAGATGTGAGGTTGCTATCCCGGATTGCTGGTTTACTGGCATGAGAAGGGTAGGGTATGGCACGGGTTCTAGCTGCATCTGCGCTACTAGCGGTGTCGAGTCCTCTTGGGCGCGGAGGGAGATTTTCCGGCCCTTTCATTCCTCCTGGGGAACTATTCCTCCCGCTCCCCCCTTTTTTTATATCTTTTTTTTGTTTTTATTTCTTTTCTCTTTTCTTTTTTTTTCTTAAAAATAAAAAGCAAAGGAGTAACCTAACCATGGCAGCCCTAGTACCATGAAACCACTACCCCGGGCCCCTTCTTGATACCGCACCCATTCTGACCCTGCCTTGTGTTTAGACCACTATTCGGACACTATGAGGCCCTGTACCTCTTGCTGGTGCTGTTTCCTCACCCGCTTCAGGTACGGGGGTCTTCGACTGACTCCTTCGATTTGTCTGAAACTCGCTCTCCTTTGACTATGCTTCCGGACTTCTCCTCTACGTACGGCAATTTTTCGAATCGCCCACCCATTTCATGCCGGACACAACTCGGTCCTACTCCTAAACGAACGTAATCTTCCTGATGATGCTCGTCGTTACCTTCCCATTCTACTCGGAAAACGACCGACACGTCAAGCACTCCCTTCCACGCTCATTTTCGGACCACACAATGGACTCCAAATTCTTTACTTTAAGACCAACTACTCTTATGCCTACCTTTTGACCATAGTATTGCCTATAAGCGCTCTGCGTCATGTTGGCTGAGGATATTTCATTTCACGCTCTCAGAGCGGTACGCGCATCGTCACTGTCCAGAAATGTACCCAAGCTCATGATCTTTCTCTCTTTCGATAATCGATACTACTCCTATCACTATTGAAAAGAACATCTTTCTTCTCAATTCTGTAGTAGGTATGTCATTCTGCCCCATACCATAGGTCAACAGGAATTTCCCAGTTCATGTGGCAATGACATTTTTGAAACAGCTGGAACTCCAGGATCTTCCCAATCTCCAAAAGTAGACACTTAGCGTCCTTCCTGCCCGGGGGCGGAGGCGTTAACCCCTTGCAATGTGCTCGTTTAACTTTTGAACAAGCACGAGATCTCCGTCCTCTGTATATGTCGCGGGACATCGGTTACAAGTTCGAAAGGTGATTTTTCTTTTTACCTACACCGCAACCAATGTAGAAATTGCTGGCGTATTGGTCACCCAGCGAAATATTGCAGATCTATAGTCAGAAGGCCCAGTCTGTGTGCCGACAACCATTTAATACATTTTGCAGTCAACCTCCATCTTGCCTTATTGTAATGAAGCTCACCTTCGTACTTCCCGCCGTTGCCAGGTCTACTTAAATGAACGGAAATCCGTTGGCCTCAAGAGGCAGATGGTCTCCTTATGCTATGGCAGGTTACTTCATCTCGCCTCCAAGGGAGACTACCCCGGTGTTTTCTTATTCTGTGTTTCCCAAACATCCCCCCACTTCTGGGGTCCCATCTTCTGCAGCCTCCTCTGTTGTTACCCCTCCATAGCCATTACGGCATCTAATCCTTTCTGCTGTCCTTGGCTTGAGTCAGACTACACAACTCAGTCTGTCCTCGCATCTTTCGCGTCCTTTCTCACAAGCCCCAGTATCGACAAGACCTCGTACGACACCTTAATACAATCGCCCCTTCTACTCAGAAGTCCCAAAAATCTAATTGTCTCAAATCTTCTTTGCCCCTTCTCCCTTCTTCCACCTCCACACGTTTACTTCCAGTCTCTGTACCTTAGTCTTTCTCCCCTCTCTTGGCTCTATTACAAGTTGTGGAGATTCACCCTCCTCCTCGTACTATTGACTTCCACCCCCGTCCCCTCCCAAGTTTCTCCCTCTTCTGTCCACCTCCCATGTTTCTACTCTCTGTCCCCCCCCCACACTTCATCTCCGATCCCTTACACTTTTCCCTCCCACCTCTACTTTGGTAACAGTCTTACTGTTCCCAATTCTTTACTCACCCTCCTCTCCTATTCCAATATGGTTTTCCCAAAACATCTTTGAATTCAGAAAAACACTTGAAAGCCATTTCAGAATATTATATTGCAGAGACTAAACCTTCAATGGACACTGATTCACTTCCTGTATCCTTCTCTTCCCTCTCCTCCATCTTCACAAACCCCATTCTTCGGCAACGGCTCCGTTCCTTCGGCTACTTGAATCTTCAAATGCCCAACCCCCACACGTTGACTTTTCAAACCCCTCTAGGTATCGTAGTGCTTTTACTACAGATTCCTGATATTTTCTTCATCGCCAATCATTGGCTATTTACAGTGGAATATCCGCGGCCTCAGGGGTTAATCGGGGTGAGCTTCAGATGTTGCTTTTCCAGGTTTTCCCTGTTGGTGCTTGCTTACAAGAACCAAAATTACACTCGGGCTGTTTTCCAACCTATCTCAGGCACTTTTATTAATTTAGTGTATTCTTCGGATTCCTTACTCAGTATGGGGGACCTTTAATGACAAGTGCCTTCTTCTACGCAATGATATTCCGTACTGTCAAACTATTTTGTCCATACTGCTGCATTATCTTGCAGCCCGTATCCACTTGAATATAAGTGGTTTACAATATGTTCTTATATCTCTATCCTCTCGAGCATTTTCTATCAATCATATCATAGACTTGCCTTTTCCTTGTTCATCCTTCCACCACCACTTCTGTTATTGGTGTTATAATGCCCACCCATTTCCTCTGGGGGGGGTTCTCATTGTGACTCACGTGGCATCTCAGTGGAAGGCTTTTCTTGCCTCTCACCTCCCTCCATGTTTTAAATAAGGGTACTCCCACCCATTTTGATCCTCGTACTATACTCCTCTCTTTTGCATCGATTATCAGATCTGCTCTTCCTCCACTGCACTAGACTTCACTGGTCTGTTCTACCAGACTTACAATGACAGCGATCATATTCCGATCATTCTTACTTTCCTTCCTATTCACCACCATTCCCTAGCCCTCGCTGGAATTTGATCGGGCAAATGGGATCTTTACTCACAACCTCACTGCTTTTAGTGAGGTTCCTTCTTCATCCTCCATTGATGAGACTCCTACACATCTTCTCGACATCAGTTATACGCAGGGCTTCTCATTCTATACCCCAAACCTCAGGGCAGGCATTTCTAGAAGTGCGTTGCATTGGTGGTCTCCTGCTTGTGTCGTGCAGTAGTTTGAAAAAGTGCTGCATGGGAGGGGCAGGTACCGGTACAATAGGAAACCGCTGAGGAGACTTGTTGATTTTACAGCAGAAGCGTGCGATCGCTCGCCGTGTCATCCGTGAAGCTAAAACGCACTGTTGGAGAGACTATGTTTCCACCAATCACCTCTGGCTTCTTCTATGAGTGCAGTCGGAAAAAAAGTGAGGAAATTGGTTGGTAAATACTCTCCTGACCCGGCTCCTGTTCTACGGGTCACTGGTGATGATATAGCAAAACCCTCTCGACGTTTGCCATTGAAACTTGGCACACATCTGGTCCGTATTTCCCGAGGGCTCCATCTATGCCCCTCGTTTCTTTCCTCAAAAGTCTGCCAGGAGGAGTTAGTACCCTTGGGGACTTTTCTTTCTTCGGAGAAGAACAGTATAATGTGCCTTTTACACTTCAAGAACTGGAGGCAACGCTCTCAGTTGCGATCTTCGGCAGCTGGGCCTGAATGGACATTCATTTCGTATGTTTACACTTTACATCGGTCCGCCCTTGTAGTCCTCTTTACACCTCTTCAATCTTATTTGGGCACAAGGAGTTTTCCCAGCTGTGGAAAATCTGCCCATTGTTTCCTTTCCGCAAACGGGTACTACGGACATGGATGCCTCCCACTATCGGACCCCATCGCTCTTACACGTGCAGTTGCAAAGGATGGAACGGCCTCGTAATCGACGTTTTAATGTGGTATTTAGAGAACTCACCAACAGTCTCTCCGCTATCAATATGGCTTTCGATAGGGTCGTTCTACCATAGACCTTACTACGCTTTGGATACGTATGTCGTATGCCTTTGCGAATAATCACTCAGTTATTGCCATATTTTGACCTGAGAAGGCATATGACACAATATGGAGGTATAATATTTAGGCCCGAGGCCCCATTCCTTAGGCCTCCGAGGCCAATCTACCATCCTTCCTTAAGAACTTTTTAATGGACAGACATTTCCCGTGTTGAGTTCAATAAATGTTCGTTTCCCCAGGACTTCGTCCAAGTGAAGGTGTCCCTCAGGGATGTGTTCTAAAGCACAACACTTTTTCTCCTTGCTATAAATGATTTGGCTCTGTTCTTCCACCCAATATTTGGTCATCACTCTATGTTGATGACTTCGCTAATGCTTGTGCAGGGCGCTCTGACTGTCACCTTATTGCAGTTTCTCTCAGCATGCGTTTGTCGACCGTGTTTCCACTTGGGCCACCCACACATGGGTTTAAATTTTCAAGTACAAACTCACCAAATTACTTTTCACTAGACGCTCTGTTATCTCGTTCATCCTTTGTATTATCTTGGCTCCCGTATCCCGAACGTGATACAGTCAGGTTTCTAGGCCTTCTCTTTTGACGTGGTTAACCTGGAAAACCTTCACATTACCTCTCTGAACAGGCAACTTGTCTCAGCCGGGCTCAAACTTCTTAAAAACCCTTGCCTCTCTTTTCCGGGGAGCTGATCGTACGAACTCTGCTTCGCCTACATTCAGCCCTCGTTTTTATCCGGAAACTCGATTATGGTGACCGATTTTTCGCGGCCTCTCTGCTACTCCTCTAGCCTTAAACTCTATCCATCACAAGGCTTACGTTTGTGCCTTGGTGCTTTTCGCTCTTCCCTGTTGAGAGCCTCTATCAGAAGCAAATGTCTCCATCTTTGTCTGATCGCCGTTGATGCCCATTGCCTTCGTTTACTATGTACGCTCCTCAAGATCTATCTACACAATCCTTCCATTTATAGAATGGTCACCGATATTAGTAGAATTCTTTATTCGTTCGCCGCCCCGGTTTGCTCCGTCCTTTTCTCTTCGCCTACTTTCCCCTCTTGTTTTCCTTCAGTTCCACCTTTATATGTTATTCATGTAGCATCTCACTTTTCCCTACCCCCCTGGGAAGTTCCAGCTGTTCGGGTCTGTTCTTTCTCCACTTCCCTTGCTCGAAAGCTCAACTGCCTACGGTGGCTTTCCCGCTCTCTTTTTCTGATTCACTTCACTTCACTCTCATGCCACCGTGTGTACCAGATGGTCTAAGTCTTCAGACGGCGTGGATATTCGCAGCTGTTGGTTCACGGACAGCGTCGTAACGGGCATTTACTCATTTTTCAGCTAGCATTTTTACTGCGAACTGTATGACTTTCTTGCAGCTCTTATTCGTATCGCATCTACTGCGTGTGTCATCAATTTTGTAGTTGTCTCAGACTACCTTAGTGCTCTACAGGCTATAGAAAATTTGATACATCTCATCCCCTAGTTCTCGTATCAACTTTGGGCTACGCCGCGGACTCTACCAGAACATAAAGATATGTTTGTTTTGGGTCCCTGGTTCTGTGACGTACAGGGCAATGAAACAGGCAGACATGCTGGCCGCGGGTCAGCAGTATATGACTACAAATTTCCTATCGAGGTGTTCCATTTCTGGGGACTATTTTGCTGCAATAGGCTACCCACCTTTCGCACCCAGTTTGGAACAACGTGGTCAACTCTGCTCGGTAACCAAACTCATTCTATTTAAAACCGAGCATAGGTTACTGGCCGTTCTTCTTGATCATCAGGGCCGAGGTTGGGAGACCCACTCTCTCGCCTTCGGCATTCGGCCACAACTCGTCTTACCATCATGGGTATCTCATGGTGAGGCACCTGTCCTCTCTGTGAGCATGTCAAGTTCCAGAATCGATTAGCCTCATTCTGTTGACTGCCCTCTCTATCAACGAGCACGCAGATTTACCTCCAACGTCGTGCTTCGTCTCCTACTCTCTCTTTACCTTCCTTCTTTGGCTGATGGGACCCTCCTTTATCCTGACTCTCTCATTGACTTCTTGACAACGACTGATTTACTCCACAAACTCTGATGATACTTTTCGCACTCCCCTCAGCCCTTTCTGGTTCAGTCTCTTGCTGCCCTTTACCCTTTCACCATCCAATGCCCCGCTGTTATCCGTAACCTGTTGCTCATCCATCTCCCTTTTGCCACCTGATGCCCTCGCTTCCTTCCTGCCCTGCAGCGCTGTATAGTCCTTGTGGCTTAGCGCTTCTTTTTGATTATAATAATAATAATAATGTAGGTTTTGCAATTAACAATTTCTAAAAGTACTGTATCTAGAAATTTCTGACATTCATAATGGAAAGTATTTGTGTGTATATTTAAAAACATAAACTTGTAGAGGAAAAAAATGGTAAAGTTCAGATAAGAAAAATTATATAATCGTGACTAAACTTTTGTTGACAATTTGCATTTGATTTACTAAACCTATGAATTAGAGTATTTCTTAATTCTGTTTTATAAATGATGTATAGGAAAATAAAGCACAAATGAGCTTTTCACAAAAAAACAAACAAAAAAACAAAAAAAAAAAAAAAACAAAAGGATATTGGTTTCATAACTTGTCTAAAAGTTCTATTAGTGCAGTATGCTTTTTCTATTAAATCCAAATTTTTATTGAACTATAGGCACCAAAGGTCTGCAAAAAAAAAAACAGAATTAGGACAGTTAAGTTAATAAAGGTATAGAATACAATGAATTAATAATATTAACACTTTAATTGTTTGTACTGTGGTACAGTATGCTAATTTTTTTGATAACTGTAATAAAGACTGAATATTTGTTTCCAAAAATTCTCTTCAGGGAGGTTCCTTGATGCCAGTGAGGGGTTTTTGATCAACAAAATTGGACTATTCCTCAGTTCATAGATCAACTTGATGTGTCTCTTATTTCCGGCAGTATAAGGATTTTTTCTCATTTTATCAAATGTATTGATTTCATTATATGATCAATTAGTAGTACATGTTCATATATTTTAGTACTATTATTTTTAATAGTATTATTATTATTTAAGGGGGAGAGCTAAACCTGTAGGGGTCATTCAGTGCCTGGGGAGAATGGGAGTCAATCAGTCTTGACCCAAGAAAGGGCAGGGATAAGTCCAGTTTTGTTGTATCAAGAGTCCCTTGCCAGTATCCAGGAACTTATTGTTGGTAATGAAATCCATTACAAAAGGTTGATTTGATAAGCAGGGTGGAATGATGGGTATTGCTAAGTGAAATTGTTCTATTTTTTTTTTAAACACACTGGCTGTCTCCCCCCTCCAAGGTAGGACACGACTTGACAAAGGAAAAATTTTAAGAGGGAAAAAACACCATGTTCCTATGTTGAATCCATATTGCTAAGGAAAGTTTACATTAGTTTTAAAATAATTGAAGTATATAGCACATTAAATTATATTGTTGAAGGAAATATCCTTGCAATTTAGTAAAATGAAAATGCTAGGTTTAGCCATCCCATGGAATGCTCGTTTGCCAATGCCACAAGATGCAATCCATTAGACAAATCCAGCTTAGGTAAGGATAGGTATGATATTAAAAAAAAAACTTTGAAGGGCTGTTATGAATTATGTTATAAATAAACAGAAGTTTGGAGGGATAATGTTGTTATCTTTTAGGGTAATTGATTATAAGCTGTTTGTGTTCTGAGACCTCTGCAACAAACAGTGATTATGTGTGTGTGAGTGCTGAAATATAGTGATTGAATGATTGATGAAAGTATTTTCTTTTTTGGGATTTTCTTTCTTTTTTGGGTCACCCTGCCTCGGTGGGAGACGGCCGACTTGTTAAAAAAAAAAATAAAAAAAATAAACAGCATCACAGATGTACCATGAAAAATTTTCTTGCACATTTTTCATGATACAGTAAAAGGGTTAATTGATTTTAACATATCCTATAAATCTTTCTCTGATTACTGAGATCATGATTTTTAGCTTTTCATAATTTTAAATGTAATACATACACTACCATGATAAGGGATAAAGAAAGGATGTGTTCAGTTCACTATTGTATTTTCCTTCCTTGGCCATTCTGATCTAGGTAATGTTGGTAAAATTATATTTACTACATAACATGCACTAGGAAAAGTGCCTTCTCTGTTGAATGCAGAGGGTTTACAAACCAAGTGAAATATTGAACATGTGTAAAACCTGGTATAATATTAAAAACAATATACAGCATAAAATTTATATACTATACTGTACAGTGTGTATAATATATATAGATAGTATGTGTATATATACATACACAGTATATGATTTAGTATGGCAAGATGGCAAATGACTGTCAACAACTTGAGGGAAATAGACAAATTCATTCACTTGGGAAATCATTATTGAAAGCATTTCGGTCTTGGAACGTTAATCACTTCAAATATTTGAAATCCCGCAGCACTGCATGACCCTTGTCGGTTTAGAGCTTTATGTGATTATAATAACAAATATTTGAAATGATCAAGGATCCAAGACTGATTGTTTTAATAAAGATGTTCTAAGTGAAAGCACTTGTCAGTTTCCCTTAATTCAGTGTGATTTAAATGGATTAGTATTCTTAACCGATTAACAATCCATTCACGGAAGATGTTCCTGAAAATTCAGAATATTAAAAATTTCTACCAGTTATCCAGAATTATGGAGGCAGAGTAGTATTCTTTAGTCTTTTTGTGTCATAAAATAGACACTGTTGGATAGTTATGAATATATTTTAAGCTTTAATATTCTGAATATCATGCTACAGCATGAATCTTATAGACATGACTGCCTTGTTCCTGACATTCCATGATTTAGTTTGCTTAGGATACACTGTCTTATAGTTTGATACTTTACACTCCCATTCATTATGGTAATTAACAGGAATCTATTTATACAATAAGTTGCCAAGGCTGTGTAAGTAAATTAAATATCAGAACAAAGTGGTGTCTTTCATTTTATACCTTAAAGTACAAATATGATGTATTTTGCAGTACTTCATTATTATTATCACAGTCAAATCAAAGCATTAAGCCCAGCAGTACTTCATAATACACAAGCTGATGTTCCAGGGGCAAATAACTTCATATTCTTGTCTTCCATTTTAAATTGGAAGTGGTGAGTAACTGGTAAACACTGATAGGGAGCATGCTGGTTAAATTTGGTTATCTTGAAGTCTCCATGAACTTCACGAGAAAGTCCAGTGCTTAGTCCTTTTAAGGACACGTGAAGCAACGCTGAACGAGCTATTCCTTTTGTCACAAGACTTTCATCATTATCATCATCATCATTAGTAGTGACAATGACGAGCAAACTAGATTTTTTAAGAGGGCTATCACCAATTAGGTTCTTGCAATACTGACTGAAAATATTAATATCCCTTGGCTGAACACCCAGATTTAATAGAGAAGTAATGTTTTCTACAATTAGCAAGAAAAATTTACCAGTTTCTTTCCATGGTTCAATGGTTTTCTTTATAAGCTTATACAAGTTTTTGAGGGGATTTTTTGAGGCATTCAAAATAAAACCAAATGGATGATTGAAAATATCTTGATTACTTTCATCTAAGACCTCTGTAAGTAATTTCAAACCCTCAACAACTTTAAAGTTGCCCTGTTCAGTTTGTTGCCTAAAATTAAGCCCTAATTTATTACCAATATTGCAGTAATGTCCCCACGTATGTTGTAATGTTACAAGGCACACTGGATGTCTATTTGCCATACCATATGAGAGAAAGTGAGTAATCAATCCATCTGCTGAGGCAGATACAGTTTCAGATATCAAGATTAAGCCACCATCTTCAAACATTACACCAATGCCCTCCATAGCGCTCTTTGCTGACTCGAACATTCTGCGGATCAAGCAAATAAAACATTAATCAGATTACAGTGGACCCCCGGTTAACGATATTTTTTCACTCCAGAAGTATGTTCAGGTGCCAGTACTGACCGAATTTGTTCCCTTAAGGAATATTGTGAAGTAGATTAGTAGATTTCAGACCCCCAAACATACACGTACAAACGCACTTACATAAATACACTTACATAATTGGTCGCATTCGGAGGTGATCGTTATGCGGGGGTCCACTGTATAAGTACAATTATTCAAATTTTGATAAGGTAGTTAAAGAGACAACAACCCATCATTTACAGTATGTAGGTGTCTTGCTTTTGAAGCCAGAACTTTCTGATTTTGTTTGTAATTGTTTTGTTAGGCAAGCAGTATTGATAGAGTAGAACCCCATATCCACAGATTCGGTTTCCACTGTTTCTGTGGCCAGAAAATAACCCTTAATTTTGCTTAATAATGGCCCCCAAGTGCAAAAGTAGTGATCCTGGCAGCTCTTGACAGCCTAAGAGAAACCACGAAGTGCCTCGAATCAGTGAATAAGTGTTAATTCTAGACTTATTGTGCATAATTTATCAATTAAACAAATGTGATCAATGCGTATACGGGGGGGACTATTGTATTTTATTTAACTGAAAATCAGAATTTCACTAACATAATGCAATAAATTCTGGCTGGCTGTTGATATGTTGAAGCTTTATAATTTTGTTACATAAATGTCAACAATGTTGGATTGTTTAATTAACTATGGTGTAAAATAAAAACAACTGTATAATACATAAGAATATCTATCCATCCCCAAAATTAAAAATACGAAAAAAATATTTTTAAGAAAACTCGGAATGACTTCCCTGATTAAAATATATAGACATATGCCTATAATTGAAGGTTGCTCATTGGAAGAACTCAAGCATTACTGCATTTTACTTTTAAAATACAAGAAAACTATATATAACCCAGTTATTTGTGCTAATTATTTTGGAACTTATTAAAAATTTATTTCTGCTACAGTGCATTATACAAGGGTCACTCAACCATTAGTAGTGAGTCAATCAATGAACAACTTGGCCAATCACTGTGAACATAAATATAAATATGCCATTTCCATTATTGCTGATAACAAAAAGTTAGGTTCTGTTGGGTTACATAAATTTCTTCTTTCCAACTATGCATCCTTGATGTTGGTGAGGGGCTCTTGATTTAGGGAATTGGATCTGTGCTCCAGTTCCTCGAATTAAGCCTGAATGCCTTCCACATCCCCCCCCAGGCGCTGCACAATCCTCCGGGTTTAGCTCTTCCCCCTTGATTATACAGTGGACCCCCGCATAGCGAACGCCTTGCATAGCGAACATTCCGCATAGCGAACGCTTTGATCGCTAAAATTTTGCCCCGCATAGTAGACAAAAACCCGCTCAGCGAACTTCGTCCGAGACGCGTCCAATGTGCGGCCTCAGCCAGCCTCACATGTGCCGCCTGTCCCATTGTTTACCAGCTAGCCTCCGCGGTAACATTCAAGCATACACTCGGAATATTTCGTATTATTACAAATGTTTTCGGTTCTGTTTGTTGAAAATAAGTGACCATGGGGCCCCCAAAAAAGCTTCTAAATGCCAACCCCTGTGGTAAAAAAGGGGAGAATTAGTATGGAAAATTAAGAAAGTTTTGAAGGGTTTGGGGCAAACCCTGAGAAGCCTATGCAGTTGTGGAATCCATGTGCCTACTTCAAAAATTAAGGAAATGTGTGCACAGTGGGTTGAACTGCAAACCTTTATGGATGAAAAAACACCCCGACACAGCTGTTGCAAGGCGTGCTGGTGACTTTTTTCAATGACAATGTTATGGCCCATTTTTTGACAAAACGTAAAGGAACGGGAGGTACAGGGGCTCTATGGACAGAAAGAATCCAGTGACCTGAAGCTGGTCCTAGTGGCATTAAAAGAAGAAGGGAAGTAACCCCCGGGAAAAAGGGCTTTCCTCCTCAAATGTTAATGGAAGGGATTCCCCTTCTAAACACTAAACACTCTCTCCCCTCCTCCCATCCCATCAATCATCACCAGATCTTCAATAAAAGTAAGTGTCATGTAATTGTGCATGCCTTTTTCAGTTTGTGTGTACTAAAATTAACATTTTTTTGTGGTAAAAAAATTTTTTTTTCATACTTTTGGGTGTCTTGCACGGATTAATTTTATTTCCATTATTTCTTATGGGGAAAATTAATTCGCATAGCGAACATTTCGCATAACGACCAGCCCTCTTGCACGGATTAAGTTCGCTATGCGGGGGTCCACTGTAATAATAATAATCCAACTATGCAACAAAACCATCTCTATGGTACAACATACTTAATACTGGGCATTTCAAATTATAATCCCCTCACGGAAGGTTCCTTGATGTTGGTGAGGGGCTCTTGATTTAGGGAATTGGATCTGTGCTCCAGTTCCCCGAATTAAGCCTGAATGCCTTCCACATCCCCCCCCAGGCGCTGTATAATCCTACGGGTTTAGCGCTTCCCCCTTGATTATAATAATAATACGTAATTCAAATTATAATTTATTACTAAACAGTATATATTTATGGGCAAAAGCTAAACTTATAGGGGTCATGCAGTTCTTGGGGAATAGGAGGCAATGAGGTTTGTTTAAAAAGCAAAGGGAAAGGGGGTGCTGTAACCCCATTAAAGAGCCCTTTAAAAGTTTGGTTAAAGCACCTTTCTGAAGGGCACCTGGGATAGGGGGAGGGAAAAACTACAAGAAAATGAATTGTTGACGGGAATTTTTTTCATTAAAAACCCCCTGGAGGCGGGAAACGGATATGGTGGCTTTAAAACCTGCAGCCCGGGACCTCTGCCACCCCGGGGGGCCCTCCAGAGATGTTCTGAAAAAACCCTTAAAAATTTTTAAACTGATTTTTGGAGAAAATTATTTTTTCCTAAAAAATTACCAAAGCAATTGTTTAAATTTTTAAAATTGTAAAAATAATTTAATATTTTTTTAAACCTTTTTCTTTCCTTTTGAAAATATTTTTGGGGATCTCACAGTCCCTGTAATCCGAAATACAAAACCCTTAACCCGACTCTGTTTTAGATTTTAGTAAAACCCGCCCCCCCCCCCAAAAAAAAAAAAAAAAAAAAATCTTTGGGCATTTAGATTTATTTTTTTTTCCGGTTGGAGCCCTTTAACCCCCCAAGATGAAACTCCCCAAAGTTGCCTAACTCTTATGCACTATTTAAAGGGAAAATAAAAATACTTGGGAAGAGAGGCAAAAGGTGCATTTTAAAAGTCCCATGAAACCTAAAAACAACGGGGAAAGAAGGGCAACAGGGTAGAAAAAATTTTTCCCCAGTGATTTTGAAAAAAATGTAATATTTAGATTGAAAACAAAATCGCGGAACGGGTGATAAACGCCTTTTCCCTTATTTTGTTTTCATTTTAATTAAGGGGGAATTGTTTAAAACCAAGGGATAAAGTGTTTAAGAAAGGGGAGGATTCAGGTTTAATAAAAAGGAAAGGGGGGCGGGACAAACCCCCATTTTTCCTTGGGAACAAAATCCTAATCCATTTGTTTTTTTAAATTTTGGTACAGGTGCACATAAGTACAAGTATCAAAAATAGCAAATAGGTGAAAATTTTCCGGGAACCCAAAAACTTTAAAGAGTCAGGGAGATGGTTTTTTTTCCTTTGGGGTTTTTAGGCGGAAATCGCTGTATAACCCTTGTCGGTTTAGCGCTTCTTTTTTCTTTAAAATAATAATAGGCATTTCCAACTGAGTTGGTAGCTTCCAGGAAAATAATAAATTTTAAACTTGAAAAAAAGGTAAACCTACAGGTTTAAATGCTTCCCTGTGATTAATTTAAAAATAATAAAAATTTAAAAATGGATGCCAAACCCACCCAAAAAGGGGGAAAAAAGGGCACATTTCCAGAATTAATTTTTCAGAAGAAAAATTCCCCCATGAGTGTCGTCTTCAATCACTCGCCTCTTGAAGCGAAAGTTTCAGTTTAAATTTTTTAAATACAGGTAAAACATTCAATTTAAATTTATTTTTTCTTTGCAAGAAAAAACATTTTGGTTATGTATTTGCAAAATGGGTTGCATTTCAAAAAAGGGCCTTTATTTTGCTTAGGCATTTTTTGGGGGGACTTAAAATTTTAAAGGCCCTTTCGAATTTTAAATTAAAAAAAATTTATCAAAAGATATTTTAACAGCTCTATTGTTTATAAATGACTCTAAAATTTAAAAAATAAAAAATTTCACAAAATTTTCACACACAGTAACTTTAAAAGGGAAATTACCTTTATCAACCAAAAAGAAGCGAAAACTTATTTCTAAAAAAATGTTTTGAAAAATGTTTTTTTTTTTCCCCAATTTTTAAAACTTACTAAATTTTTCCCTTTTGTGATGAATACTCGAAAGAGAAACAGTGGTTTTTTGGTAGTTTAGATGTAATTCTTTAAGGGAGATCACAACATCCCAGGAAACAAAATTTTTTTGTCGTTGTTGGGGTGTAAAAGTCAGTCACCCTAAAACCCAAAAAAAAAAAAAAAAAAACGGGGATTTTTTTACACTTTTTAAAAAAATTTTTGAAAATATAAAAATATTTTCCTTTTTTTTTTTTTTGGGGTTTATTAGTCTTCAAAAATATTTCGCAGTTCTGTTTAAAAAAAAAAATTAAGTTTTGAAGAC